CCCGCGATGTCAAATAAATGCTAGCCAGCATCTATACGAACCAATCTCAACGAATCTGTAAAGAAATTTATTGCGAAAAAATATCACCTCGTTCTCAGCTAGGAATGAAACACGTGCATTGGCCTTTCTTATTCGTTATGTGTGAAACACTTATACACGCGCGGGTCGTAATAGATATATATAATTAATCAAATTAATGCCGATGGCATTTAACGAATCATTTCCGGCTAACATCTGTTCATGTTTTAATTTATTATAATAATGTAACAATAAGAAATTGTAACTTCACTCTTTAAAATATAGACCATTCGTTATTTAAATTGAATTAAATGAAAAGATTTTGTTTGTATGCGTGTATCTGTGTAAAGAAAGAGAGAGATTTCCTTATGTATATTTGATGTATTGGTAGTTTGATTGTTCCTTCACTCAAAAATCATTCCTTTCTTGATTTATGTAAATAATGCATACCTTATTCCATTGTTTCTACTATTGTTCTTATATAATAATAATAATGATAATAATATTCTAATTCTATTATTCTTAACTGATAGACTCGGACTTTAAAAAATGTTTAATAACATTTATTAGCTATCTATAGTTTTGATCAATTATTGAAAAAAGTTACATTTTTCTTTGAAATAAAATTTAACAGAATTTTAATTAAAAATTGCTTTTAAAGGTAAATAAGTTGGAAAAAGTACAATGAATATTATAAATCTTTATAATGTTTTTAATAACATTTTAATAACATTTTAATAACATTAACAAACCTAATTTTTTAGTCCGGTCACATTAAACAATTTATCACTAAACGTAATGCAATAGAAAATTATCTATATTAACAAATTTTTGTAAAATTATTAAATCTATCTTTACGTTTTTTATGTAATTTATTTTACATAATATAACAAAAGTTATTTAAAATAATTAATTTTGTTTTTTTTTACTTTTATAGCCTACATGTTTATATTTAATGAGTAACTTGTTGTTTTTCAGAAATATTCGGCAAATTTATTAAAAAAAAATATTAGCAGACAAAAATATTTCTTTTACAAAATTAATTTTTAATTGATATGACGAGAAAAAATATGTTTATATTTGTGATTAGAGCATGAATTATATTGTCTTCCCATATACTTTGCAATATTTTTTTATAAAAATTAAAAACTATTAAACTTCTTTTAAGAGTCGATAGCTTGATGATTAATTACATGCAAAACGCTTCGCCATATATAATTTAAGGATTTTAATGGTTATAGTATTCCTTATTAATATATTAGTATATATATATATCAATAAAAGAATATATAGTAGTTGACTTTTTTAAAGCGAATGTTACTGTGATTTGTTTCTGAATAAAGATTTAAGATATTGTTAATGATAATTACAGACATTTAATAGAATACAACATATGCACTTCTAACGAATCGACTTTAATAGTGCTGGATAAAGAAATTTAATTGTCAGCAACCATCGATAATAGTATTAAATATTTCTATCTTATCAATGTTTGGTAAGATATCTTTTACAAAAATCTGTTGTACAGATATTGCACTTTGTCTAAAACGTTGTTCGTTGATTAAAAAGAAATTATTGTACTTTCTCAATAACATATATAAACGATGATTTTTTAAATTTGTTAATAATTTAATAATTTAAATACATATGGAGAAAGAAGATAATTAAATTTTTTAAAATTTTAATAATTTGAATGATATAGATGGCAAAAAAGAATAATTAAATACATGAAATAAATTTTTGGATAATAAGTTGTTGAAATGTGAAGTATTAAGATGTCATATTCTCTTCTGTAATTTTCTACAACACAAGGAAGGATTTTATAAATGTTTATATTTTCCAAATATGCAAAAATACATATAGCGCTGTAAAATATACATATAAATATATAAAAACGTATTAAAAATTAGATCATTGCCTCAAATGCTTTGTTTACTTTTTACATCGTAAATAGAGATTTGAAATTAAATTTGTGAATATATATCCTTGCACAATGAAGACATATCGTAAGTAAAAACAGAATCTGTGTTTCGAAGTAAAATTTAAAATTTATAAACTTGAATCTGACGTTTATCTTAATTATATCGCGCGAGAATTTCTTGATAGAAACTTGAAAATAGAATTCGATAAGCTCATGTTGTTGTCAGTTTAATATTTCACGACGTCAAATCGTATTAGAGGTCGTATCACAATATCGTTTCGCATCTTCGAAAAGGCTTCTATAAGTGCAAGAATAATAAAATCAAATCTTCTATAATCGTGTAATCCGCGTAAGAATCACTTATATGCGGATTGTTCTTGATAAGCCCCAAGTCCATCTTTATTTTACTATTACTTTCTACTATTATTTTCTGTATGCATTAATCTACTTTCGTAATTCGCATTGCAGAAATATCGGTAGACTAATACCGAGATTGGGAGAACGTCGCGTTATCTGTAGCGTGACATTTAATATTACATCTATGTTATGAAAACCTAATCCGCTCTAAAATAAATTTATTCTTGAAAGAACCTTGGAAAATCATTCTTCTACTCTCACAGTTACAGTTCTTACATGTATACGGCCAGAAGGGCTCCTCGCAGCGAGTCTTTTAATCGGATTTACCGTGGTTTATCCCGTTAGAGATTGCGTTACCGTTAACAGCGCCATTAATAGCGCCATTAATAGCGCCATTGACTTTTGATTTCCGTCCCGTGTCCGATTTCATATAATTGTTCACGTAAAACGATCCGAACATGTAAATGAACAAGCCGGCGTTGAGCGTGAGCAGGAACGAGAGCGGCTTGGGGAAGTTGCAGCTGGTGAACAGCATTTGGAAATTGTGGCAGAATACTATGAAGAACTGCACGATCTGCAAGGTGGTCAGGTGCTTCTTCCACCAGAGATACTTCTGCATATGAGGTCCGAACGCGGCCAGCATGTAGTAGGTGTACATGAATACGTGGACGAAGGCGTTGATGACGCCGAGGAGCGTCGGGTGCCCGCCGGCGAGGAATTTGACGCCGATCCAGCCGCAGATCGGCATTAGCGAATGATGGTAGAGATGCAGGAACGAGATCTGCCGGTCTTTCTTGCGCAGCACAAAGAACACCGTGTCCAGTAGCTCAATCAGCTTGCACATAAAGTACATGTAAACGCCGTGGGCCATCTACAAGGGCAGAATTACATAAAGATCAAGCGGATACCAGTTAATGACAGATACTGTAATTATCAAGTCAAGCAACATTTTCTCCCCGGGAGAACGGAACACTCTTTCACTTGAGGTGGTCTTGGAATCTCGGAGGCGGACATTGAATTCGAGCACCGCACCGGTTTAAGGTTGCCGCAATAACGGGTACAAATTGCACCGTGCAATGATATATAAGGTCGTAAAAATATCGATTCAATTTAAGTTGAACGTCATTGAAAATCGAACGTTTTCAAAATTTTCCTATACAGCACAGAACATTGTCGCAAGTTGCAAATACATTGCGCAGCATTAGATCTTTGTTGTAACATTATCGTAATATAATACTGGAGTCGTTAAAAACATCCGTTTTGAGGAAACTTGTGGTGTAGCATTATCGCAATATATGTATATTACAATATAATATATATAATACAACGTCATTACAAACATGCAGCAATACTGCATATTAGATGTCTAGAAACAATTTTAATGTACAAATATGAGAGGCGTATGGAGACTGTCCTTCGTACTGCGAATTTTTGCAAGATTGCAATATTGCTGCAATATAATTAAAATATTGCGTACTGTATGAATTGTAATTATAGTTATTAATATCATGTAATATAACGCGGTTCACTTACTCTCACTGAACTCGGTTTGTATGAATAATCGACTGGTTGACAAACAAAATTGTATTCGTACAACCAACCACCCATCAAGCCCTCGTAAACCAGATAAAGACTTAGCAGAACCTGGATGAAGTTATAAATTATCAGAGTGTTTCTCAAATTGTACGGCTTCTTGTCCTTCATGTATCTCGGTCCGGCGGAAACGCAAAAGTATATATACGTCGCTATGATCGTCAGAACTGGACCAGGACTAGGTACCAAAAACCATTCTTGTGTTCTCGGATCTAAAAGAAATATAAATAATGTAATATAACACAATATATAGTTTAACACAGCGTTAACATGTAATATTTTTTTTCTTAATGTAATTTTGTTATAAAATTACCATTTCTGTTATCCATCAAATCTCTATACCACTCCACGATGTACGACATCTCGTAATCCGACTTTGTAAATCTGCAAAAATTAACATTATAAATTAATTTCATAATATGTAAATTAGTTTAAAAATAAAGTTTGATTTCTCTAAATTAAGAATTTTACATTCTACGTAAATTTTAAATATACTTTCCATTTCTATATTTAAAATTTACGATTTACGAACAAAATATTGCCCTACCCTGAGATATTTTCACTGGGGATATTTTTCGCAATTTTTGCAGTGAGTTAAGATAGCATTTAGCTTAATTAAATTGCGTATCAATTTGATTTGTGATATTATTATTCCAGTTTTAGTTTAGGATTGCGTTTTAAGGCTAACAATATCGGAGCGTAAATCTTACATTCCATTGAAGAAATTCAAGAAACAGAAGAGTTCACCTTTATTCAATAATTTACAAGTATTAGTAAAATACAAAAGATTTAATTTAATAAAAAAAATTGTATATTGTGTATTTAGTACTGACAATAATAATAATAAAATATTTATATAACATTATCTTTTTTATGGAGATTTACAGTAAATGTATAATAAGAAAAAAAAAATAGAGACATATCATGGAGAAATATTTTATATAAGACTTTAATTATTCCATTAGTTGAATTTATAAAATTTATATTAATTTAAAGTTATAAAATTAAAAACGCTTATAGGAAGAAAAGACTAAAGTTCCTAGATTATTCTAGGAACAGTTACGACATTAGTAATACTAGCAAGGTATTGCAGTTATGCAGCGCATTTAAAAAACGAACGACTATGAAAGTGCTATGCATTGTTCTGCTCGTCTCCTCGGCCGTCCTTGGTGGTCCTAATGACAATATGAATTACGTGAGGGGTGGTAAGGGAATGGAAACTTGTTTGCGCCTTTTCCTAAATTGCAACGAGCGATTGCAACAGCCGTAATATACGCAATTTTAATTAGTATTCAACAAACAGTCTGCGAAAAACATAATTAATTTTGAATCTCTGGAATTTTATAAATGTAAATTGAAAGTCAATTCCTTAACTAATCATGGTATAATTGTATGGCATATTTTTATCCCTTCTTAGAATTATTAATTGTATCATTTTTTAAAAATAACGTTTAAACTTACATAAAATTACTGATATTAGAGAAGTCTAACAAGTAATCTTTTTCAAATGTCCGATGCCGATTTTTTTCATACTTTGAATTTTGATTCGAGATATCAAAAGATTTTTTCCAAAATAATGGCTTAACATTAATCGTAATGTTTATAAACGATATATTATTTGTATAATAGAATGAAATATTTCAGAAATAACGTGTTTCTTCCAAAAATGTTTTAAACAAAGTTGCTTGATTTCAAAAGACATGTAAAATAGTGACCTTTATTTGATCTTAAAATTTCTTATGAATGTCTTATTAACGTTAATTAAATTTGTCATATAATATTACATAATTTTTTTACGTAAATCAATTCCTCTTATCATTCTGCATATAAAAGTATTAGTATAAAATAATCAAAAAGTATAAATATTTTATGATGTATTTCGTATTGCAAATAAAAAATTTTTTTTCATATATATTTTCATATCGGAATATACATATATACATATATTGTATATGGTGTGTATTCTTGAAGCAACGAGCAACTTTACTACACTTTCCACATTAAAATAGGCAAATCACTCAATGGCACAATGTTACTACTCTATTAGGAGTGTCGGTGCTATGCATGTGTTCCCTTTTTTTTTGCTATTGAATTAAATTGTATTTCGATATTAATGGACTGTATTATATTTTATTCGCTTGCGTCGCTATACTGTCTATACTGTCTATCCCTGTTCGCCGTTTCAAGTCGTACTGGGCTGCGTTCCAAAATTTATTCGAATAACTAAAACTCTATAGTTTACGTCACGTTAATTATGGAGTTTTGGATAGCCGAGTAAATTTTGGGACGCAGCCCTGGCCGTGTGGCACTTCTTGAAAAACAAAAACCTAGCGAACGCTGCAGTATTAAAACCATTACACATACAAAAATTTTAGTCTTAATTATAATGCCATAAGCAAATTGACCAATCACGTTCAAAATTGCGGTCTTACGTTTTAGAATGTTCGATTGTGATTGATCAATATGACACAATGCTTATGACTTTATATATACTTACGATTAAATTTTGTAAGCACGTGTGATGGCCTTTAGTCTTTACTCGCTCGACGTTGTACCTTCGAATGAGCATAGATAACGTAACTTATCAAATGAAAACGCTTACAACAAAAATTGCCTTAACACACATATCCAAAGTTAATATATATACAAGAAAACTTATCTATGTCCTACCTGTGAATTTGTGACGACTATTTTTAACGTACACGAGTACTTTTTCAACACTAATTGCTTTTTTATATGCAGAATGATAAGAGGAATTTGTTTACATTAAAAAATTATATAAAATGATTTGAAAAATTTAGTTAACGTTAATAAGACCTTCGTAGAAAATTCTAAGATTAAATAAAGGTCACTATTTTACACGTCTTTCGAAACCAAGCAACTTTTATTTAGAACATTTTTGAAAGAAATGTGTTATTTCTAAAATATCTTATTCCATTATTATAAAAATAAAATACCGTGTACAAGCCCTATGATTAACATTAAGCAATTAATTTTCTGCATGAAAAATCATCTTTTGGTATCTCGAATCAAAATCCAAAGTATGAAAAGAATTGGCGCTTGATACTTGAAAGAGATTACTTGTAAGTCAAATTCATATGTTTTAGATATTACATTATTTTTAAAGAAAATCTCGAAAAAAAGAAAATTACCGGGTAAATTATAGCTTGTATAATCATTCTGTTGCGATATTATGAAAGTTTAAATTGCGGTGCGATGAAATTAATAAATGAATAAGTATTTCGGTTAGCCAGAAAACGAGAATTAATCTTTTGTGTTAATGTAATGTGGATACTTTTATTTTAATGTAATCTTTTGTAGTAACGTTTAATTAATATTTTGCACACTATTTTAAAAGTGCCTCTGCGTATAAAAGAAGCCATTGGATAACAAGTACGAAACTAACAAAATTTGCGAATGTAAATTTTGGATTGATTATATATTTAAATTTAATTATTTTTGAAGAAAATTTAAATGTAAATAATGAGTTGATTAATAAGTTTGTGTAAATAAATAATATAATTAATGATCTAAATATTAAAATAATTAAAATAATTATAAGATTAGAATTAAAAATAAATAAGTAAATTCTGAATCATTTTATATAAAAGAAAAATAAGGGGGGGAGTCTTCCTAAGCCTAAGTTAAGAATAAGTAATAAATTAATATATTTAAATTTATTAAATTGAATTAATAAATAAGATTGAGTTATTGATATTTTTAGTATATTAAATATATAGAATAATCTAAGTGTAATAATTCTATAGAATAAGAAATATTTGATTCAGATAATAGATTTTATATAAATTAGTAAAATTATTCATCTAGATTGATGGATAGAAAAATAAGTTATAATTATTTTTATATTAATTAAATTAAGTATTATAAAAGGGGGAATAATTGAACATAGAATGATAATTACATTAATTATTACAGGGTAAATTAAAAAATTAGAGAGTATATAAACATGTTGCATTTATGTGCGATATTTTTCGAGAATTTTGAGTATGACCATTCGTCGTTGGGTCAAAGATCTTTCTAGGTCAAGTTCGGACCAAGGTAAACGAGATTTCTGTAATAATAACTGCAGCGAAGCTAATGCCCTTCCCAGTTGCTGCTCCCCTTGCACAAGTCAGACGTACTTTCCTAATGATAATTGTACGTACAAAGTGTACACGTCATTCTCGTCAAAAGAACATTCACGGAAACAATTTTCGTTTGTAATTATTTGCAATGACAAAAAGGTTTTTCCCATTTTTCTTACTGACTGATTGATTTTGAAGTTTTGAAAAAAGTTACTTAATTTTATATCTCAATTAAATTACTTGATTGAGTATCAGAAAATGAAGAAAACTTCTCGCAACAATCTTTTTACTCTATTGACGTAAATACCTTTATGAAATTTTTCAAATTAATGGTGATCGACAACAACAACGTAATTTTATGACCATAAATTACAATCTTGCGTAAGTATCGGATACTTTTTAAAAAATATGTCTGATTATTATTTTTCTAACTATACCGCAAGACATCGATAATTTAGTTTAGAGTACAAATAATAATGATAATGACACTTATGCAGCAACAAGCGTGTTGCAAGAGCCGACTAGTCGCAGCCGTTGTCTTATGAAATCATTATTAGCAGTAAATCGTCGTTTAACAACGGGCTTTAAAAGAAACGATCAAGATCTTTGAAGGACGACGATATAATTGCGGCCAAATTTCTGTGGTTAACCGCGGTTTACGAGAAATAAAATAATTTCTCTTTGCAGAATACCATGTTTCATGCCGGCGCTCGCATGCCTACGAAGTGTTTCCCCACTTGATTTTGCTTAATTTCCGTTTTATTGAACAGAAATTAATAAGTCATTAAATGTAATTAAAAACGAAGAAGAGACAAAGCTGAATGAGATCAAATTTCTGTCATTGTGTTGTTCCATTGGCGGACAATGCACTTACGAAGCACCCTCTATCCTTGATGTATAATTATAGGGCGTCAGATCCTTGGATGAACAACCTTGAAGTAAGAAAATTGAACCGGTTGCGATCATTTGCGGGGTTTCCCACAAATAAAGATCTACGAGATATATTGAAAATAAAAGGACTCGTGACGATACGATCAAAGTTACGAACAATTGGTTCTTTCATTGACGAAACTGCACATTTTTGTCTTATTATGTATATAAGATTCTAATCTATAATAAGATTTTAATTATTTTAATGGTACAGTATTACGGTTATTGTATGGTAATGATTATTTCTTTGTATTTTTATATATTATTTATGTACAGATGATACAACAAAACGATGTAGAAATTCCACGTGCGTGCGCACACAAGACTGGTTTTCTTGATCAAAAAATTTGTCTTAATAAGGTAAAGATA